CAGAATTACATTTTGTTCTGTTCAAATAATCATGAAAACGTACTGAACTGATCATAGACAAAAATAAAAAAAAAAGCATAATAAAGTGACATCTGTTATGTTCTACTATTGAAATTACTCATTCTCACACAACTATGACATAATTGAAATAAATTTATTTTTCAATTTGATAAAAACTCAGATCATTATTATTATTATTATTAATATAATAATTAATTGAATTGAATACAAAGACGAAGATAATAATGTAGACCGTTATAATTAAACGCTACTTTGTTTTGATAATTGCTATTGAAAAAAGGATGTCTTCGGATGAAAGTTTTAATGACGAATATCTTGATAAATCTTCTCCAATTCGAATGTCTGATCGAGTTCTTAGATCATCATCTGTCTCAACAAGTTCTGATCAAAGAATGCCAATGAACTTCATTAATGAGACATACTCATCAACCAGCTCCAACACAAAAAGAATTTCTAATGAAAATCTTACTTCACGTAGTTTTGAAAAGATGCGACTATCTATTGAAAGGTGAGATATACTTTTTTTTAGTAATAATATTAAAGGTTCGATCTTTTATAGTGCTTCGGATCATGAAGTTGTTGAACGATCAAGTCAAATTTTCGATGTCAGTCATTTGAAAGAATGCATTGATACAGCACATATCTGTCCTGGTGGTCGACTTGAGCTAATTATTGATGCTGGAAAAAGCTTCGGATTATTTCACAAAAATGGGTTGAAGTGTTCCATTTGTAATAAAATTACTGACTTAACCAATTTTCCAGCTCAACCTGCACGTCATATCCAAGAACCTAATCAACGTTTATATGCAGCAAGTGCAATAAGTGGTATTGGTTATGACACTACTCAGTTTGTACTATCATTATTGGGAATTAGTGTACCATCTCGTTCTAATTTTTACAATCAAGTTTATAATTTGTAAGTAGCTTAATCTTTTTACTCTGTATTATACAGTTCCATTTAGATATGATCAATTATTTGATTTTGCTCATGCAGATTTCTTAACGTTGATCAATGAAATACGAAATAATGCAAAATGTGATTCCAAAACCATTTTGAATCTTACTGTCTCTCTTGATGGCACTTGGAAAAAACGAGGTCATCATTCAATGTATGGTGTCGTTTTTTTGATCGATGCTGACTCTGGATTTTGCTTGGATTTTGAGACTCTAAGTACACGATGCGGAACATGCGAAGTAAGAAAACGTACATTAACATCTACTCAGTTCAAAGAATGGGTAAGATTGGTAATATTTGTCATGTGCCAATACAAATCCTCTTTTTCTAGTACAAAAGTCATCAGAAAAAATGTTCTAAAACGTGGGATGGTAGTGCAGGTGGAATGGAAAAAGAAGGTGCAAAGAAAATCTTTGAAAGATCTCTTGAAAAAGGTACAACAACTGGCTATTTTATTTTCATTATAACATTGATATTTAGGAGTTCGATATAGTAACATGATTAGCGATGGTGATTCAAGTGCGTACGAAACTGTTAAGTACATTTATGCTAATATGCTACTCAATGATCGTTCACGTTCAATATCTCATGAAAATCGTACAACTACAGATTTGTTACTTGAAAATGAACATCATGACAATCATAATTCTAATTCGTTTCTTTTATCAGATGAATATAAGAGTTATATTGTAACGAAAGAAGATTGCATAAATCATGTAAAAAAAAGAGTCTCTAGTTATCTAAAGACATTGAAAAATCGACATACAGGTTTTGAAGAAGAACAAGAGGAACATTTAACAACAACAAAACATCAAAAAGGTGTTTCATCATCAATTAATAAAAGACGTAGACGACGATGTTTAGCCGATGGTAAACCGTATGGAGGAGGTGTTGGTCGAATGACTAAAAGTATGGAAAAAAAACTATCTGATTATTACGGATTGGCAATTCGGTACAGTAGTGAAGTGGCTAAAGGTACAGGTATTATTTTTGTATATTCATAAGTGTAGGTTGTTTTCTAGATATGAATGAAGACGATGCAGTAGCACTTATGGAAAGAAATTGTCGCGCATCGTTTATGCATAACATTAAACAATCTGATCGTGAACTTCAACATTTATTCTGTCCTTCTGGACGACACTCTTGGTGTTCGTATCAGAGAGATAAGTATGTTCCTATAACGGAAAAAATCGATTCAATTAAAGATACAAAGCGACTTGATATGGTGAGACTAACTGATTTTCTTTGGTATATCTTGAAATCCTTATAATATTTCATAGGTTTTTTTGCATATATTGACTCCTATGATAGATAAATTAACTGATGCATCTTTATTACAACGATGTCTTCGAGCTTCAACACAGAATGCTAATGAATCTATTAATTCAGTTTTATGGTCAATTTTGCCTAAGACAAAATACCACGGTTATAGATCTGTACGAGGTGCTTCAGCGATTGCATCAATATTCTTTAACCGTGGTCGTTCTGGATTGCTCAAGTTTTTCGATCAGGTTGGAATATCTGTTACAGAAGAATTATTTAGTACTCTCTTGGGAAAAGATAATAAACGGATTGAAAAAGCTGAATACAACATGCAACAAAAAGAGACTATCAAGAAACAGAAACAACAGCAACGACTCCAATCACAGTTAGCTGAGGATGAATAAATGGATTATGGAGCTGGTTTATTTTAAAGAACTTAATTATTTTTTTATATTGTCAAATTAAACTTTGAACATTTCATATATGAAATAAAAGAAAAAAATGATATTTCTCAATTTGACTTATATTCTTTAATTTTCAAATTAGTACTACTATTCTATATAAACTGTAGTAGGATGAAGTGGCTGATAAACGACATTTGTCTTCGCTGTTTAGCAGGAGTATGAGTACATAACATAATTCATGATTATTTGAACAGAACAAAATGTAATTCTA